AAATGATTCGGTAGGAGCCGGATCCATCAAACGGGTTTGGATCCGAATCAGATCCGACATTAATATATGACGTCAGCCTAAAGATTACATTTTAGAGAAGCCCAGTTTTCTTTGTGAAGTGAACTACAAGGCCTTTCGTTTTCTTTGCTCAAGTCAATGGTTAAAAAAGTCAAAAACTTTGCAATTTTTTTCCCTTAATTCATCAATTGATCAAAATTGTATATTAATTGATTTCAATTTGAAGGTTCTTGTAAAATCAGCAACGCAAAGATAATGCATGAATATAGAACTAATAATAAGTTTACAGTTTCTCTAGCATAAAAGATGATTTTTAAGTCTCAGGAGCTTTTCTCTTCTTATTAGAGACAGGCGAAGCATCATCGAGTTTGGACTGACCAAAAACAGACCTGCAAATTCCAATATTTTCTAGATTTATTAGAATCAAATAGCTTCACAGTTTATTTCATATATTGAGAATGAGCAAGATAGATGGGTCCAGTCTCTTACCCGCAAGTCGAACATTTCTTGTGATGGGCACAGAAAATGGACAGACACACTGAACATATGTAGCCCATATCGATAGTCTTCTTGTGGCAAAAACACCTGCAAGTTTGAACATAAACCATCTGTTATACGTGGAGGAGACCCGAGTCATTGAAGAGTCTTATGGTTTGAATCACTTACGATGCGCGAAAATCAACACCTACGGGTTTAGGAAGTTGTACAAAACTGCGGGAGTGTAAATCAGTTGCAAAGATGGTCTTTTTGTGCAAAACAAAACAAACAAGAGTTAATAATATTGTAACCTTTGAGTGCGTTAATGTAAGTAGTCACTAAACCTGCAAATGGTCAGTGTTTGGACTTAAGAGCATACCGTTAGATACTGAAACAGGCCATCCAATTGCTTAGGCGTATGATGTACGCCGCCGGTTATATAAGATGCCTACAAATATGCCAGGTGATAAATACTGATGCTTAGGGTGCTTGAAGCGTTGAGTATTTAGAGAGCACGTAATTGCACCAAACGAATAAAGAAGAAATGATATTACCTGCTGCAAAAATGCTGAGTTCTGTGCACCTATGTAACAGGAATCAATGGGAACCTAAAGAACCAATGGATGAAGTGACTTGAGTACATAATTTTCGAATTTCTGAGAACGCCAAGAAACGTAAAATCCCAAATAATAAATCAAAATGAAAAGCACCATTAAGCGTTGTGCAGAGAAGATAGAATTCATAACAGCTACATATCTGAAAAAGGACCAAAAAACTCTTCATGAGTCCAGAGACAAACAGGAGAAAATGTTGCGAGAAGAAAAAAGTTACAGAAGAACATACTGTTCTGGGCCATCTGGGGAACCTTGCAAGCATAAAATCTGTAATTTATAAATATGGCGATTGCAGAATCAGCTCTGTTTTATGGAGCTAGACAATAGAACAGATATATCATAAGAGAGAGGAGATTATATTATGAAATAATACTGAACACGCACCCGAGGCTGGGGATGAATATTTCCAGAGCGGAAAACCCTCTGTATATCTAGCCAGAAGGTCAAACGAAACAAAAAGTGAAGACCGAAAAACAACATACAAATATTACCAAATGATATTTATGGCCCTAGGCATGCTAAGAACACACATATCGACCTAAAAACGCTATCGGTTTTCCTTACTTAACTCAATTTAGAGTCAGGACTCTTTAAGATTACTACCATATGTAATGTACTACACAAACAAAGCCTCGACAGTTTTTCACTTGCGAAAACCACACAAATAAGAGTGATCAAATGCAAAATTCTTTTTTCCCCAAGAGGATACAGCAGAGAGCCATGGAGAGTGATCCTGACAAGAGAGAAGAAGCTATTCTATCCTCAACCTCCTCTTCCTTGATAAGCTCTTCATCTTTGGTAATAAAATCTTCCAATTTCTCTATTAACGAACCAAAAAGAGCAGGCAATCCAATTCTACTGCTCTCCAAACTCCCATGATTCGATGTCGAAGACGAATCGTAAATGTAATCACAAGAACTGTATCCAGTAGCTATGACTACAACTTGGTTCAATTGATTTAAGCCCAAAACCGCATTCAGAAACGCAAACACCTACAAAAACAACAAATCACCAGATCTCTTGAATACAAACGAAGCATTGGAACAAAACAATTAATTTCGCCAGAAAATACTTTTACTTACATGAGAGAGGAATTGAGAGAACTTAATCGATGTAGAGCTCCAGAAAAAAGGATTCGTGTCAAGCAACAAAACTAGAAGACTAACATCGTCTGCGACCAAAACAATCACGAACAATATGAGAGAGTGTTTACATACTTAAACGAACGCAGATTTATCGATTGACATATGTTAGGGTTTCGGAATTTAAGACCTGAATACAGCTTAGAAGCAACGGAAGCCATAGTTAGTCAGAATTTTCAGTGCCGAGAAATCTTCGCACCAGAAACGAGATCCGGTGTGCTATCTCAGTGCCGGAAAATCGTCGTTTTCTTCTCCGATTGGGCGCGACGCTATCCGTGTGTCTCGGAGAACCACCGAGAGCCGGAAGGATGCTCCGGCTACTTCTCAGTCACACTTTCCTCCGAGATATGATATTATGGGTTTGGAATTGAATCTCTTTATTTCGGGAGACTCGAATCGCAATTAATTAGTTATCTTTTTGGTTATTTTGTTAATTTATAGCGATGTTGAGGACCTTGACAAAAACAGTAGAGAACTAGAGATATTCAGGACAAGATGGATCTTAAAGAGGCGGTATTGATAAATGGGCCTTGTTATCAGCTATAAGCCTTTTGGTAAATGATTATCAAACAAAAACTTGATCAACCAAACAAAACAAAGGGAAATTGTGCTCAATAACCCAAAAA